TGTGGTGGTGTCTCTGGTATCTTTGTTCCTTGAAACCTTTCCTTCAGAGCGTCCCCCTCAGGATTTCTTGTAGGGCTGCCTTAGTGGTGACAAATTCTTTCCATTTCTGTTTATTTGGAAAGGTTTTTATCTCTCCTTTATTTTGAATGACAGGCTTGCTGGATAGAGGATTCCTGGCTGCATATTTTTACTGTTCATCACATTGAAGATCTCCTGCCATTCCTTTCTGGTCTGCCAAGTTTCAGTAGATAGGTCTATCACCACTCTGATAGGTTTCCCTTTATATGTTAGGGCCCTTTTCTCCCTAGCTGCTTTCAAAATTCTCTCTTTGTCCTTGTATTTTGCCATTTTTATTATGCTATGCCGTGCAGAAGATCGATTCAAGTTCCGTCTGAGGGGAGTCCTCTGAGCCTCTTGTATTTCCACATTTACTTCCTTCCCCAGGTCGGGGAAGTTCTCCGTTATAATTTGTTCCAGGACTCCTTCAGCACCTTTCCCTCTCTCTTCCTCTTCTGGGATTCCTATGGTACAGATATTGTTGCGTTTGACCGTATCATTGAGCTCTCGAATTCTTCTTTCCTGTTCCTGGATCAGTTTGTCTCTGTTTTTGTCAGCTTCTTGTTTTTCTATAATGATGTCTTCTAAATCACTTATTTTCCTTTCTGCCTCTTCAATCCGTGCATTGGAGGCCTCTAATTTATTATGGATCTCATTTATCACATTTTTTAATTCTTCATGCCTATTTTTATTTTCCATTCTGTCTGTAGTCATAGTTTCTTTGATGTCCCCTATGTTTTTTTCAAGCCCAGGTATTAATTTTACCATTATTATTCTAAAATCTTGTTCAGTTATGCTGCTTATATCTGTTTTGAGTAGTTCATTAGCTGTCATTTCTTCTTGGAGTTTCTTTGGAGGAGTGTTCTTTCATTTCGTCATTTTAGTTAGCTTTCCGGCTCTTGTTGGTTTTAAAGACCTGTTAATGCTCTCTGTATCTATGAGCGCTGCTCAATCCAAGAAGACTCTTTGCCTGTCCAGGGCCTATCCTTTCAGAGAGTGTTTTTGAATGGTATCTCTTGGTCACTCTTGTTGGATCCTTGGTTATTTTATTTTCCTATTCGTAGTGATATTTGGGACTCTCCACCTTGTGTACTCTGGCTTATTTCTTGAGGTAGCCCTGGAAAAGAAAACAGACAGACAAGCACACAGGGAGCAGGAGCACACAAACGCACAGGCTAATTCAACTAACATGCAAAGTGAGAGGGAAAACGAAAAAGTTAAGAGAAAAGATGGAGGAGGGAGGGTGAATAATAGGGAGTATAAAATACATAAAAGGGTGAAAAAGGAGAAAAGAAAAGGAAAAAAGAAGAAGACTGATGGGCAAAGAATGGTTTAAAGCATATAACCGCATTTCCCAGCTACAGTTAAATAGCCGTGTGTATGCAGTCTTGGTTGAAGAGCATAGAGAAAGAGAGAGAAGACAGGCTGGGGATGAGGCAAAATTGGAAATAGAATGGACAGGCAGAAGGGATAAGAAGCTATTTTCAAAGAGGTAAAGGGTAGAATATGGTTGGATAGGTGAGAGAAGGATGCTGGTATTATCCAGAGAAACTATGTAGTCTAATTACTCCTGACAGAAAGAGATGAAAAGGTCGGGAGGTGTAGAATTTACATCTGTCCAGGGCCTATTTACATTTTTTTTTTGTTTGTTTGTACATCATTAATTCGTTAGCGCAGAGAAACTAGATACAGAGTCAGAACTGGAGCGAACGCTGAGGTAGTTACAGCCACACAGAGGGGACGGCGCCTTTGGTTAAAAAGCAGGATCTGTGAAGTTATCTTAATCTTCCAACTGCTCAGCCAGTCAGCTACACGTGCGAGTGAGCCAGCATGCTGCCCACTGCAGAGGGCCACCGAATGCTCCCGCCTGGTCGCTAGTCCTGCTCCACAGCCAACCTTTAGCTTGGAATGAAAATCACGAGATTTCCTTCTGGCAAGAACCTGAATGTGACTAGACACCTGTTTTCTGGTTCTTGTCTTGCCTGTCCTGAGTTTGATGTATCTGGCTATCAATTCGTTCCTACCATACATCTTGCCTTCGTCTGATAAGATGATTTTCCTCCTCCCACATGGCGGATAGATAGCCAAGGCTTCCTGAAAGCTCTGCTCAATGTCAGGGCTCCAGACCCCTTCCGCATCATTGTCAACCGGCTTATCTCTTTGTGATTGTTTAAGCAATCCGGCGACCAGAGTTAACCAGGTCAGTGTTCTGGGGAAAAAAGAGAGAAAGGAGAAAGAAGAAGAAAAAAAGAAAAAAAAAAAGGGAGGTGGGCAGCTCTCAAGCAGGGGTGGGCGTGGTGTGATCCAATGCCTCAGGTGGGAGTTCTGCCGTGAGGGTTGTGGGGAGGAGAGTGGCGGTGCTCCAGTCCCTTCTTGAACCAAGCGCTGCACCTCGTTTTTTTGGGCGTGTAAACTCCCCGTACCGGGGGCACAGCCAAAGTTGGTTGCACTCTTCAACTCAGGCCAGTTCCAATATCTAAATCCCAGTCTGCGCACCCTGCTGAAATTGCCTTAGACACAACTTCCCAGGCAATCCCCTCGGGGCAATTCCAGGTCCGCTGCCGAGCTCTGGGGGTGGCGTCAGAATTGCTGCTTCCTTCTCTGGGTCCAGTTGGTGAGCATGGGCGGGGGCTTGCCTGCCGGGTGCGCTGAGCCCAAGCCCGCTGGAGTGTGGAAAACCAGGTCCCTCTATGGCTCGTCACCCGAAACACGAACTCACAGGCAAATTTCACAGTTTTTAGCTCTTTGCCTTCCCTCTAGAGTTCCAGCCAGCCAGGAGCACGGACCCCCGGTGTCCGCACGCACGTCTCTTTCTGAGGCCCAAGCTGCCCGGGAGCTACAATGGCGGCAGGCGCCACTCTGAAGTCCAGCCACCAGAAGCAAGCACAAAGAAACAGTCTGTGCGCTCAGACCCCCCCGGGACTAGCTGGCGCAAGGGAACCTGGCGTGCAGGTATTTGGCAAGTATTGTCTTTCTATGCCCCGAGCGGAGGTTTTTCCCCCCGAGCGGATGTTTTTCTGTTTCAGACTCTCTCTTTTTCCCCTCTCACTCCCCGTAAAGGGTAGAGGGGGATTGCCTCCGACCCTGGAGTCTCCGATCTCAGCCCTATTTTATCTTCCCCGGTTCGCACTCACGTTAGGAGGCTCTCTCAGTGGATTCTGAGTCCTATTTCTCCCAATCTCTCAGGTTTTGTAAGGTTTCCAATGGCTTCAGATCTTTTCTGTGTGATGTATGGGCGCGAGTGCAAGTACGGAGCTCCTTACTTCTCCGCCATCTTGCCCCCTCCTCAACTCGAGATTCAAGTATAATATATTTTTTAAAAATGAAAAGAATTAAGTTCTAACTAGCTTTGCAACCAAAACTTGACTGCTATAAAATAAAAATTATATAATATATAAAATCTCAAAACTCTACTATTCTCTTCCTATTATTTTCTTTTCCTTTTCCTCCTCCAATCTCTTTAAATCTACTTTGCATCTTTTATATATGGAAAAGAGAAGTAGGCTATAAACCAAAAAGCTGTACTAAACTTTATTTGAGCTTGGTCACATTTGCCTGAGCTGTCAAGTTAACAACTTTATACTTTATTTTTACTTTGAAGCAGTATACTTAGGAATTTAAAGCAACTTACCTTTAAAGTGTACTGGTCCAAAATTCTCTGTAAAGACCACATCTTCATTTTATTTCTTTTTTAACATTCTGATAATTAAATAAAGATTTTACTATCTTTTTATAATATAAGTAACCTTTTGAGATTGGCTCACTCAGCATAACGCCCTTGAGTCCATCCAAGTTGTTGCATATATCAAAAGTTCTGTCCTTTTTGCTTCTGGGTAGTATTCCATTGTTTGGATGTATCACAGTTTGTTTATCCATTCATTCTCTGAAGGACATTTGAGACATTTCCAGTCTTGGACTATTACAAATAGAGCTGCTATGTAAATTCATGTATAGGTTTTTATGTGCACATAAGTTTTTCTTTCTCTAGGGTAAATGCCCAGAATGGATACTGTATGGTTCTATTTATATCATAGTCTCAACTTAACGAAAAGTAGAGATGTAGAATAAATAAGTGATGCCAGGATTTAGAGTAGGAGGAGGGAAGAGATAAATGCAAATGGGAAGCACAAGAGCATTCTTTTGTAGTTGTAGAACAATTTTCATATGGATTGTGGTGGTGGTATTAAAATAAAATATATATTAAATATATTAAAAGAAAATATATGTGATAAAAATGTCATAGAATTATATGCAAACAAAAAAATACATGCATGCAAAAACTAGTGAAATCCAAGTAAAGTATACGGTCCAGTGAGTTGTACTATATGAATCAATTTCCAGGGTTTTCTGCAGTTTTATAAGATGTCACCATTGGGGAAAGCTGTGTGATGGGTCATAGGACCTCTCAGTACTGTTTCTGCAACTTACTATGATGCTATAATCATTTGAAAATATAAGCTTTTTAAGTGGTATAATAAACATATTTTATGCCTAAGAATCCTGTGAGGATTAGTACCTTGTCTTATAGTAAACCCTCAATATAAAAAACAAGGAAAAATAAAACATGTTTTCACAAATAAAGAAAAAATGAGCCTCTGATTCTGAAACACTTGGTTTAAATTTTATAATTCACTACATTTCAAATGTGATAACTACTTTTGATAAATCTTTCCATCTAGATTAACTAAGATAATGTGTTTTTACCTAGAATGCCAAATGTCATTTGTTAATTAGGATAGTAACTCTACTGTATAATTTTTGGTATTACAATTAGAACATATTGAGAGCTACTTTATCCAGCTTTTAAATGAATTTTACTTCACTAAAGAGATGAATAAATACAAATTAAGTCAAGGAGAAAAGAAAACAGGCTTAGACAAATACATATTAAGATAAAGAAAAGTATAAAATAGATTTAGAATAAAATAAGAAAATTTGCATACCTGTTAACTTGATATGTCCTATTTCATCAAGCAAAATGCTGTAAATCGAAATTCACATTCAACAAGATGGAATAAAATATTTTTATATTTACATTTACATAAAAATCATCATAAACTTAAAAATGGTCAGCATCTATTTGATTTACTGGAAAATATTTAAGTAATTAATTTAAAATCAATGGGTATCTCGGTGTCTCTGGATGGCCCAGTCAGTTAAAGCATCTGACTTGGGCTCAGATCATGATCTCAAGGCTTGTGAGTTTGAGCCCTGCATCAGGCTCTGTGCTAACAGCTCAAAGCCTGGAGCCTGCTTGGGATTAAGTCTGTGTCTCCCTCTATTTCTCCCCTCCCCTGCTGACACTCTGTCTCTCTCTCAAAAATAAATAAACATTTATAAAAAATTTAATAATCAATGGGTACCTCATATAGATTAGTTGTTATATTAAATAAGTTTCATATAATTGTATAATTCATATATTTTTTCACATAATTTTTAAAATAAAACAGTGGAGAAAAATGTAATTATAGAAATACTGTTGACAGGCCTTCATAAAGAGAATATAGCCTTACTTTTCTGGCTTCAGGTCTCTATATACAATTCCTAATTGATGCAGATGATCCAAAGCAAGGGCCAGTTCTGCAAGGTAAAATTTCACATCTTCCTCTGTAAACAGAACCTAGAATGCAATAATTTACCATTTGATCCTTTCTTTAATATTGAATTTTAAAAATTTACTTCTTTAAAAACCAATAAAGAAACAAATCTAGGTTAATAAAAAATATAAGAGAAGTAGGTAGATGAAACTAAACTCTTTAAGAATCCTTCTCTTCAATATTAACTATTTTAGTGCAAGTCTTCCTAAAATATATTATGGAGTTTACATATCGTCTACACTGAATGTAATGCACAGGATTTACCTCTTTTAAAAAAGCAGTTTAGTGTCATAATGCAATTGTTAATTTTAGTACTCTGCTACAATATAGTCATATTCTCAGGATCTTAAAGTTTATAGTATATTTTGGTGTACCATTGGTAATTCCACTTTTTCTACAATTTCTCTTTCACTTTCTACTATGACTTCTCAGAAATTTCATTTTTATCAGCTCTACTAACCCAAACACAAGATGATAAATTAGTAACGCTTCCATTAAACACAGTTTTAAACCCAACCTCTGACCTAAAAGATAGCTCCAGGTTTCTTCTGCTACCAAAGTGCTTGAGTTTAATGACATTTTATTCCTCACTTTGTGCTTGGGGATAAAGCTGCTATGGTGAAGTGAAAAGAGCACTGGAATTAAAATCAGAATTAACAGTGTAATGTTTGACATGTTACTTAGCCCTCTAGGCTTTAGTTTCTAAAGCTGTAAAATAATAATAATAATAATAATAATAATAATAATAATAATAATTTCTTTTCTTAATGTTTATTTATTTCTGAGAGAGAGAGGAGAGAGACAGACAGCGTGAGCAGAGGAGAGTCAGAGAGAGAAGGAAACACAGAATCCGAAACAGTCTCCAGGGTCTGAGCTGGCTGTCAGCAGAGAGCCCAATGCGGAGCTCAAACCCACAAACTGTGAAATCATGACCTGAGCTGAAATCGGATGCTTAACCAACTGGGCCACCAAGGCGCCCCGAATAATAATACTTTCTATATCTACCTAACAAGGTTGTTTTAAAAGCCATATTAGTTTATGTACAAAAAAGCTTTGTAAATTGTAAAATGCTATGTATGTGGGGCGCCTGGGTGGCTTAGTCGGTTAAGCGTTCGACTTTCGCTTAGGTCATGATCTCTCGGTTCGTGGGTTCGAGCCCCGCATCGGGCTCTGTGCTGACTGCCAGCTCAGAGCCTGGAGCCTGTTTCAGAGTCTGTGACTCCCTCTCTCTCTGACCCTCTCCTGCTCACGCTGTCTCTCTCTCTCCTAGAAATTAAAAAAAAAAAATGCTATGTATGTAACCATGAGGCATAATTATTATAGGTTTATGTCTATATTCATTCATGACTGTTAAATTTACACACAAAATTGGGCACTAATCAAACATTAGATGTAATTTTGAAGGTTAATCAAAGGCTTCTGAATGGCAAAACAAATAACTTGTTTAGAAGTTGGCTATTTTCATTATAGAAATCTCTGGATTACTAAGAAACTCAAAATTTGAATGAAACATCATAAAATCTTATAACTGACTTGTCCATTTATTATTATGGCCACTGAATTACATAATACAGACGCAAGTTACTAGTAAAATTTCAGAGAATGGGAAATTAAAGATAAATATTGAAACTCTGCCGACTTTTTCAAATGATCTACAGAGGAGCATCTGGGTGGCTCAGTTGGTTAAGTGTCCGACTTCGGCTCAGGTCATGATCTCACAGTTCGTGGGTTTGAGCCCCACATTGGGCTATGTGGTGATGGCTAGCTCAGAGCCTGGGGCCTGCTTCAGATTCTGTATCTCCTTCTCTTTCTGACCCTCCCTTGCTCATGCTGTCTCTCTGTCTCTCTGTCTCTCTCTCTCTCTCCTTCAGAAATAAAACATTAAGAAAAACTTTTTACATTTTTTAAAAAATAAAATGATCTATAGAAAAACAAAGTTGTGCATTATCTAAGTTTCAGAGTTCATCTGAATATTATAATGGTAAAAATATAAGAACATAATTCTCACTTGATACTTTACTAAGAATAAAAGTATTTGTTACTTATTTAACTTCTCAGGAAGGCTAATCAAAAATTTCATTTACCTAACACATAAGAAAATCCTACACAAAAATCTTTCAAACTCTAAATTAGAGTCTTTGCCTAGGTTTTATGGCAAGCACATTATTTTTGTCATGAAATTGTCTGTTAAAAGTCTCATGAAAGACACAAATAAGAAATTAAGTAGCAATTATGTGCCAGTAACTTTACATTCAATATGTTACTACAGTCTTTCAAACAACCCTATGAGGTAGATATTATCATCACCTTACATAAGGAAAAAGAGACAAAATGATAAAGTATCTTGCTCAGAAAATTATAGCTAATAAGAACCAGGCCCAGGATTTGAACTCAAAAATACTTATCCCTAAGAACTACCTCTTTCCCAGAAGCCTCTTCTGCCAGTTATATTCCAACTTTGTTATAGTTTCACTATTATTAATGCTTTCCTTTTCACTAATCACCCTATCACAAATGAACCCATGAAAGAAAATCACTTAAAATCCTAGCACCCTGAACTAAGCACTGCTAGTCTTTTGTTGTCTGCTCTTCAAATTGTTTGTGTATGTATGAGTGTATGTGTGTTTTAGCATATTATTTAACATCACACTATATATACTTAGTGGCTTCCTTTTTCCCATGTATTATATTATAAGCATTCTCCTATACCTTTAGAATGTAAAATACACACACACACACACACACACACACACACACACACACACACACTATAGAGTTATCTAAGATGATAATGAAAAACTGGAAATAACCCAAATGAACATTTAGGTAAATTATGGTAAATTATTATGGTGAATTACTATAGTAAATAACTAACTCTATAATATGTATATGTATTTTTTACACTTATGATTATTTCCCCAAGAATGATTCCTAAAAAATAAAACAGGAAGTACTGGGTTGGTAAAAATAAATAGTCCAAAATTTTTGACATACAGAATAAAATTATATTCCAGAAAAGTTTACAATTATTTATACTTCTATCAGCAATTTATGAAAGCATTTGTCTTACCACATCCAAAATAGCACTGAATATTACTCTTCAAAAAATATATATTTTTTAATTTGCTACAGAAAAATGCCACCAGTTTTTTAATTTGAATTTTGATCCCTAGGCTAAACATTTTTTCCATGTTCTCTAGGCCTTTTTGTTTTGTAAATGAATTATCAGCAATGTTTTTGCTTATTTTCCATTATTTACTTACTGTTTTTTCAGTTGGTATAAGCCCTTTAAATATTAAACATGTCAGTTATCCATCATATTACTTGTAAATATTTTCACCATTCTGTGCTTGTTTTTTACATTCAGTAATATGTAATTTTATGTAGTCAAATTTATGTATCATTTCTGTATGATTTTCCTTCATTATTTTAATGATTACGGAAACCTCCATTCAATAGTTAACTACATATTTGATTGTGTTTTCTTTTAGAACAATTGTTTTTTTTCAAGATTTAACTCTTTAAGTAAAACTTATCATTGTATGTGAGAGAGATGACAATTTAAAATGATCTTTCTCTGAAATATCTAACTGATTTATCATATACTATTTGCTGATCAATCATTCTCTGCCATTAACTTGTGATTCATCCTCTATCATAATAAGATATGGTAAATCATATATATCAGAATATTTTGGGGCTATACAGTATGTGTCTAATCTTTTGTTGATACTATGATGTTTTGCTGATAGAAGTATCTTTATAAAGTTTTAAACAAGAGTTAGGGCAAGAAAAGTGTGTTCCTTATTTTCGAAACCTTAGTTTTTCTTACCCCATTTGTTTACTCTCCCAGATAAGTTGGTAAAATCATTGTCACTTTCAAACAAACAAAAACATTCCTATTGAGACATTGTTTGAAATTTTGTTAAATATATAAATTAATTATGAAAAAAACTAGCAGCTCTACAATAATCAGCTATTCATCCAAATATATTTTCTTAATATTAGCAAAGTAAAACATAGCTTAAGAATTTTGTGTGCTTGTTTTTGTGTATGTGCATGTGTGTGTTGGGGGTGGGGAGAGAAATTTGGGAGGGAACTGTTCTCTTTAAAATATACGACATACATTATATAAAAGTCTTTAAAACATACAAAAATGTACTTTTAAAAGTAGTTTTCTAAGGCATAAAGAATATGACCTCATTTTAGATGATATAACAGTTTTACTGTATGCATAAATGAAGGATAACCAATAAACAAATTCTTATTAATAAGCTGTCTATAGAAGTACCAAATAATTCTCTAAAAGCCTGTTCAATGAATATACTAATTCATTGTCTTTTGGGAAATGCATTTAAAATGCTTTCTCTTGGGGCGTCTGGGTGGCTTAGTTAGTTAAGCATCCGACTTTCGCTTAGGTCATGATCTCGCAGTTCGTGGGTTCGAGCCCCACGTCGGGCTCTGTGCTGACTGCCAGCTCAGAGCCTGGAGCCTATTTCAGAGTCTGTATCTCCCTCTCTCTCTGACCCTCCCCTGCTCACGCTGTCTCTCTCTCTCTCCTAGAAATAAATAAAAATATTTTAAAAAATAAATAAAATGCTTGCTCTTACCTAATATTCCAGACTTAGGAATCAAAACTTACTGACTGCATCTCTGTGCTAGTATGGGTTTAGATAGTCCCACATCGAGAATGAAGGTCTGAAGAGTTTAACAGAAAATTAGAAATGACCACAAGTAAGAATTTCTCAAACACATTCTTGAAATTTCTACACTAAAAAACAAGAATTCATGAATTCTGAGGCCTTGTTTCACTGTTATCATTCTATGTCTTGAGACCAGCTTTTATCAAGGCCCTTTAAAAACCATCCTTGGAAGGCGGTCCTAGACAGACCCTACCATAAACTGAATTCTGTTCTGTAATAAACAATAAACCAAGATCACAGTCTATATTCATGCATGTGCCACACTGGAGGTAGACAGATACAAGTCAGACCTTAGCCACTTAGGCACTAGCTAGCATACC